CCCGCATAATTATTCACTAACTCACGAAGAAAGGTTCGCAAACCGAGATCATTCTATCTCCCCTACGTGCGAGCAGAATCCGTCATTTGGTCACCTGGCCCTTCTGCCGCAAAGCCCCCTTTTTGCATGTGTGCCGGTACGTTGCGCCTGTAAATTGTTTCTTTTCTTTTATATTCGTGACATGATTTCAAATTAATCTTGTAGGTCTTTTCCAAAGCTCAGGATTTATGTAACAAGGTTTCAGAACATAATTTCGTCCCATATTCGCAGACGCGTTTGCAACAGATTACTCGATCCTTTGGTGCCAATAGTCAGAGTACGCAGCCAAGAAGACGATCTAAAAGAACTGTAATAAGCAGCAATCCATCTGCCGATATTCTGGATGACAAAATTACCTTAACTACTCTTTCAAAAAATAGCCTCATTAAACAACCAAGTATGAGTACTATCGGGGCGTCGGCCTCTTCTTCAACTCCAAATTCTATAAATTATACGAAACGTTTAGCTCCAGAATTTGACCATTCTGCGGGGAAAATTACATGTTTAAATAGTATTGAACGACACTCTTTCCATCCCCATACAACTTTTGCTGCTTCCTCTACAAGTACTCCAGCGGGTTCCGCCCTTACAGAAGCTCCAGCTACTCGTTCCGACATGCCTAGGCTTCGTAGCAGTAGCTTTCGGGCATCAAATATTGTTGAGAATCATGGAACGCCATTAACCTCGGCTTCTCAGGGAGCGCGTAAACACTCTAGTCTGGTCAGTCAGCTTGGAAAGCAGGTTTATATTCCAAAGGACTCGGCCAGTACTCCTGGGCCTAGGACTAGGTCTCAGGTATCTCTTTTTTTACCCTTGCTTATTATATCTAACATACCTCTAGAATATGTTTAAAATATGCATAATTTTAGGTTCCTTCTACAAATATTTAACTAGATGCTCTGGGGGTTGCTCTGCATACCCACATAATGAAATTGTTATTTTTACTTTCTTAACCAGTGTAGATGGACAATTGTCCTTGGTTTTATTTGTTTATATTTTTTTCTTTTTGTAGGTGGCTAAAGCAGCCGCTAGTTCGCGTCGCTCCTCTCGCTTGCTCGGTACTCATCATGCTTCACTTACTTTTGTTGCACAGAATGTCAGTAACAAAGGCCATGAATTGGCTAAATGCAACGACCTATGTGTGAATGATCTTGCTCTTGGACATCTGAGCAATTCGAAAAATCCAAACCCTTGTGGCCTCGCAAAATCTTCTATGCTTAACACTAGTTCTACTGCCCTGGCATCCCAAGTGGGTCCAACAATGTGCTGTTCTCCCGTGCTCACTGAGTCACTCAATGGCAACATCAAGTTACCCCCTCAGCAATGGGATCAGGTGAGGGATGAAAGAAATGTTGGCACTGTAATAATCTTGCGTAGTATCGTGGATCTTTTTAGGGCCTACAGATGTGTTTATTACCCTTCGACGGGTGTCATCCATCCTACATATCTTTACATGGTCCACAATTGACCAGAAAACAGCTTTAGCATACTAGTTAATCGTAAATTAATATTTCATAGGTTATTGGATATAAGATCCCAGTCTTCTTTATAACTGCAGCCTAGACACTTTTTGCATTTGGTTTATGTATTCAGATTCTCACCATGTGTGTACTCATTGTAGGGCTTTTTGTTTTCACTACTCATTTCATAAATTTGCATACATATTAGCAAATAGTAATTAACTCGTTGACTTTAATTTAGTTAATTATTTTCATCTGTGGTAAACATTATTTAATATAGAAGTTGTTTGACCTTGTTTTCGCAACTTGATCACATTGGCAGGAAGACGTAGAGTA